GAGAGAGAGAGAGAGAGAGAGAGAGAGAGAGAGAGAGAGAGAGAGAGAGAGAGCAAGCGAGCCCCCTGGTGTCCTCTCGTAGAGGGACACAGATTCTAGTGGATCAGGGCTCTACCCTTATGACCTCAGTTAACCGTAATTACCTCTTTACTCCAAAAACAGCCATACTGGGGCTTAGGGCTTCAACATATGAAGTCTGAGGAGACACAGTTCAGTCAATAGCACCCTAAGAACACTTAGTACATTGTGTTATAATAATTTGTTTATGTCTGTCCCCGGCATACCCATCTTCTTAGGTCCTAAGTACTGTGCTAGGCATTGAGAATCACGTAGATGGACCTCCTCCCTCACAGAGCTTGTCATTAGTTGTGCTAGTTTTCTGTGGCTGCTGCAATGAATGATCACAATTCGTGATTTAAAGCTACACAGATGTATTATCTTATAGTTCTGTAAGTTAGAGTCTGACACATGTCTCTCTGGGCTAAAATCAAGGTGTCCTTTGGGAGGCTCTAGGCGATAACCTCTTCCCTTGCCTTTTCCAGCTTCTAGAGGCTGCCAACAATCCTCGGCTTGTAGGCCCCCTTCTCCATTTGCAGAGCCAGCAGAGTTTCACATTTATGAGCCTTATTCTGTAGTCACATTTCCCTCTGACACAGCGGGAAAGGCTCTGTTCTTACGGATCATGTGATTAAACCGGGCCGTCCAGATAATCCAGCATAATCCCTCATCCCAAGGTCCTTAATTTAACCACACTTGTAATGTCCCATTTTATGTCAGGTAACATATTCACAGGTTCTGGGGATTAGAATGTGGACATCTTTGCAGGGGGAGGGGAGCATTATTCTGCCCGCCCACCATGTTAGTGGAAGAAAGAGATTGGAAACTCAGTGCAATGTGTCAAGTGCAATAATGAAAATCTACTCAGGGCCTGTATACATGGGAAGCAGAGAAGAAGGTGGCTGTTCAACAAATGATAGGGGCACTGGCAGAAAAGATGAAGAGGAGGAGAATGGGCATGATTTGAGAACCAACTTGATGTTGGGGATGAGGGAGAGAGAAAGGGAACTAGAATAGCTTCCCAGTCCTGGATTGGGACTGGGCGAGATTCTCACTGAGATAGGGACCACACTGGAAGATATGTTTATTGGGATTTGCTGGTTGTAAGGAAAAGAAACACAAATTAAATTAGGTTATTGCAAAGGGGAGTTTATTTGAAGTTTTTGAGGGAGGCTGGCTCATGGAACTCATGGCAGGATTGTAGTTGAGCATCAGAAATAAGCTAGAATGGGCACACAAGTGCCTTAAGGACTTTTCTCTGTTTTCCCTCTGCTCTCTCTCTCTCAATTATATGGTCCTTGGAAAGGGCTCTGGAGCAGCTAGGGCCAGGCATCCCCCTGGTGTATGAGGCTGTGGCCAGGACACTTAGTCACCCTTTATGCCCTTCTGTCTTCATGGCGCTCTGGCTACCACCATGTGGTGGGCAGAGGAATGGTTCTTAGAAGAGGCATGCTGGGCAGACATGCCAGTTGGGGTCTCCTTCAGAGGAGAAGATGACGTGTTCAGTTTTATTTGTCTTCTGCTTTTTGAAGAATGTTGAGATATAATTTGCAATGAAATGCACAGATCTTAAATGTTTAGTTCAATGAGTTTCAGCAAATGTAACACCCAAATCAAGACTTAGAACCTTTCCGTCACCTCCACAAAGGTCTTCATGCCTTGTGCAGTCAATCTCCACCCCTCCAAGGCAACCACTGCTCTGATTTCTATCACCATAGTGTAGCTGTGCCCATTCTAGAACTTCGTAGAAATGGAATCATGCCATATGTACTTTGTCTGGCTTCTTTCATTCAACATAATGCCTCTGAGATTCAACTATGTTGTTGCTGCCTCAGAAGTTAATGCATGTTGAGGTTATTTCACCATATGCATATATCATACTGGTTTAGTCATTCACCTTTTGATGGACAGTTGGGTTGTTTTTACTGTTTTGGTTATTATGGACATTTTTATACAATTATTTTTAGGGTTAGAGGGGAATTGATAGCATTGAATGTGGAGACTAGAAAAAGTGAGTTCAGTTTTGAATAAGTCAGGGGGACTTGTGGGACATTCAGGCCTCTAGGTCCAAGGCCAGTGAAGTGCAGCCTGGGATAGCCATGTAGCCGAATGTGGAATTACAGCCATGGGAAAGTCCTTGGGTGGAGCATCAAGTGTGAGACAAGGTAAGGCCCACGAATGAAATCCCGAGGATTATTGATATTTGAAAAGCGGAATCCTCCAAGAGGCTGAGAGAAACATGGCCATCTATCTTTGTGTCTCCATCACCAGGCACAGGACCCAACGCAAGTCTTCTCGGTTTGCTAAATTTAACTGAATGGGTGCAGAGTACATGGTTATTGGTGGGTCCTATAGAAGGACATAGATTGGGAGGAGAAATGGCGTTGGAGTCACAAAGGACAGAATGAGGTTGGTTGACTGGAGAGGGACTGCGATGAGTGGGTAAGAACGACGGACTCCACCTTTGCTTAGGCGGGGCTGGGAGGACCGGGTCATTCAAGTTAAATAATTAGGTGGGGTTAGACTATGCAGAGCATGAAATGGATGTCTGATGGGAGAGTTTAGGCTCCACCAGGCCGGCCAACCCCAGAAGAGCCAGGTCCTGGGGCCCGGCGTGAGAATATGAGCTTTCCTTTTGGAACGTGTGCTCTGGAGGTGGCGGCGGCGCCGCCGCTGCTGCTGCTGGTAGGTGACAGTACTGAGTTATCAGCGGCTGTGCAGTTGCTGAAAGGGAACAGTGCCACCGGCTGCTGCCCTGACCGAGGCTATAACTTTGCGCCTGAGCCCTGGCAGCAGAAGACGGAGGCCGCGGCAACTGGTCGCAGCTGGGAGGCAGTGTGCGCCCCGGGGGCGCGGGGTGTCTGGCCGGGAACCCTGGGGCGGGGCCGCCGCGGGGCGGGGCGGTCTTGGCGCCAGGCCACGCCCCCCGCCCGCCGCGCAGGCGCGCTGCGGGCCGTTAGCTGTCAGGAGCCAGGCGGCGGGCGGGTGGCGGGATCCGACGTCGGCTCTGGCCCCGGCTGACTGAACCCAGCGCCGCAGCTGCGGCGAGGGCAGCGCGGCCCCGGCTCCCCGCCCGGTCGCAGAGGCGAGAAGGGACCAGCGGGCGGCCCGTCTCAGGCGCAGGCGAGATGGGGAACCGGGAGATGGAGGAGCTGATCCCCCTGGTGAACCGTCTGCAGGACGCCTTCTCGGCGCTGGGGCAGAGCAGCCTGCTGGAGCTGCCGCAGATCGCCGTGGTGGGCGGCCAGAGCGCAGGCAAGAGCTCGGTGCTCGAGAACTTCGTGGGCAGGTGAGCGCTCGGGGCGCGGGGACGGGCCACCCCGCCCCTGGCCGTTAGAGCCCGAGCGGGGGGACCCGGGGCTGCTGCGGAATGGGGGTGCAGAGCAGCCGGGGAGGGGGCGGCGGGGTCGGCGTGCCCGTGGGTGTCCTCTGTCCCCCGCCCGGTGGCCCCCCTGCCTGCCTTTCATCCTGCGATACAAAGCCATTTCCTCCGCGTCCACCGGCCGGGAGTCCGGGGAGGGGTCCGCCCCAGGATCAACTTCCCCCCGCGGTGCGCGCCGCGCCGGCGCTTCCCAGCCGGGTGTCCTGTGTTTTCCCTGCTCAGCATCCCCTCCTTTTCCTGTCTGCCTCCCCGAGGCTCTCCACGGAGCCATGGGGTTTATCCCCCCCCCCGGCCCCCAAAGAGATGCTTCCCTCCTCACCCTGGTTCCCAGCTCCTCTCAGCTGTCTACTGTCCGCGACTGTCGTCGCCTGCCCCTAGCAGAGGAGGCGGGGGCTGAGCAGAAAGACCTCGTTTGTTGTGGGGAAGCTTTCTCCAGCCACGCTCGTGTCCCCACCATTCTCCTCCCGGGCAGTCGAGAATAAAAGGTGGTGTGTTCGCGCGTGCACCTCTTCCCTGCTCCAGGCATGTGTCCGGGAAACCGAGGCACAGCAGGCCGAGCCGCGTGAGCGTGGGCTTGGGCTGCCCAGGTGCCATGTCATCCCTGCATCGTCTTGGGATTGACTAGCATCTTTCTGGCACCCTCTCTCTGCGTTCCCCTCGGCCAGCAGCGTCTTCCGTGACATAAGCTCTTCTTTGCCCTGCCAGCCTTCAAGATCACATACTGAATCTAAATTACAGTTAGGGGTTTCTTGTAACTCTTAATACAGAAAAGTCTCGAGAATTAATTTTTTGAGTTGGGAATCAGCATTTCTTCCACTGAGCGATTCATGAGGGATGAAGTTACCTCAACGGCCTTGCCTGAGGAGTGCAGACATTTGCTAAGAAAAGCCCATTTGAAGCATTATGAAAGCTGAAATCTGTTTCCAGGTAGAAATATACAGCAGCTCAGAGAGTGGGCCCGAGGGAGAACAGTCCAGAGGCTGTACTTGACTCTGTTCATTTGGATGGTTAGTGATTTGGGATTCAGAAGGTTCCTGTTTCCTCTTTTTGGTAGTTTCCGTGCTGTGTCAGATGTAGATATTCCCACATCTCCTTTGGGAATGTTAGTATCCATAAAGTGCATTTCCTTTTCTCTCAGATGGTGCTGTTCATTCTGTCCCCCTCAATACTAGAAAGCTCAGAAACCTTATAAAAAAGTAAAATTGCTGTCAATTGGTTGATATCTTTGAGTAAGTCACTTAACTCACTTTGCCTTGGTTTTATCATTTATTCTGAGTGATGAGAAAGTAATGAGAAAGCATTTTGCCTACATCATGGACATGGTGAAGTGATGGAGGAATATGTGATTTCAAAAGTACACAACAGTTACATACTTAATGGTTTTACTTGCTTTGGTTTATTGCTAATGAAATTCACTGAATTTAAAGTGGTACCCATAGGAAAAGTGAAGTTTGATGACAATGTTTGGGAGTTTGGTTTTTAAAGCTCTAGAACATTTAGTATGATGCCTTAATAGTCATTTAACTACTTTCGGTTTTTAAACAAATACATAAAGATAAAAATTATAAGTAATTCAAATGCAATTGCCATATTTTTATGCATCTTTCATACATTTGTTTGGATGAGCCTGTATTATGAATGCATTGTTTGTGGCAAGAGCTTTTGAACCTAATGCTAGTTTTATGTACATATCTCAATTATATCCTTTAGGTTTTCAAATCCTATTACTTCTTTATGCTATCATAAAATTGAACACATTTTCCTTTATCAGCTATATTCTGTTGAAATGAGAGTTTTAAAAATCAAGAGATATGGAACAGTAAAACATTTTAGTTTGAACATTTTTTCATGATAAAATGAAAATAGCGACAGTATAAATATTACACAAATCAGCATTTACTGGAATACATTAGTAATTTGTTGTACATTTTATTTTTATTTATTTATTTATTTTTAAAGATTTTATTGGGGAATTGGGAGAGGAGAACAGACAAGTTGCTGTCCTTCTGTTCTTCAGTCTAGTTGTGGAGGATGTCGCTTTACTTGCCCATGTTGGTATTATCATTGCGCTCTTCCCAGGTGAGGCTGTTGCTCGCCAGCCATTGGACGGCGGCTCATGGCAGCTCATGAAAGCTCACACCTGCTGCTGGCCAGCCCCAATGCAGCCTGCGCTGCTGTGACTCAAGGCAGCCCAGCTCCAGGTCGAGCTGTTGTTCACCATCTTAGCTGTAGAGGGTACAGCGTCACTGGCCCTCATGTGGGATCTGAACCAGGGCCCTGCTGCTCAGAGCTGGAGTCCCAAGCCAACTCCTATCCAACACACCACTCGGCCGGCTCCATTTGTTATACTTGTTAAACTTTTACCAATCACTAATTACTGTTAGGCTGTCAAATAAAAAAAAAGGATGAACATAGAGAGAAAAACTCATTTAATAAATATATAAAGTCTTTATTATCTGTAGAGATGACACCTGCCTAGCAGAGCCTACATATTAGGAAACAATTTAGTTAAAAGGGTCTTTTGATTTAATAAAGGTTTCAGTCATTGAATTATTGAGGAATCTAGTTTCTAATTATAAACCAACCTTAGGGAGGAAGGGGTTCTGTCTTTTTTTATTATTTTTTATTTTTTTATTGTTAGTTTCAGATGTACAGAACAATGCAATAGTTATCCTTTTCACCCTCACAAAGTAACAACCCCCCTCCCCCTATGTGAGTTCTGTCTTTTAATAGGAGATTCATCTTAGGCAGAAAAAAACCAACTTGTATTCCACCATAACCTTTTATCGTTTTCTTATCCAGAAATTTTGTGATAAAAATAAGGCCCTTTAAGGATGAAACTTTCCTCTTTTACATGTGTTTAAGGTTGGCCTATATGCAGTTATCGAATGTAGTCATAAGACAAGGGATCATTGCTTGTGTAAATTAATAGTATTTGCTCATCATTGATGCTTGTGCTCTTCAAAATAATGATGCATTTTCTCCTCAGTATTGGACAATCCACGTTTAGTAGACTATCCATCTATCCATATCTTCTCCCTTCAGATAGTTTGTTTATATTGATTTTTTTTGGACACCACTGAATGAATTTGGATATGAATGCGTTTTCTTCATTTAACTATAGCTGTAAAATCTAATTTTTGGGTGACAAGTTTGAGATTGTTATGAATAAATGAATCATGAATGAACTACTTGTTTGTGATTTTCTTGCTGAAGTGATAAATTTACATATTAATGTGACACAGTGTGAGTAACCAGACTGTTCTTTTGGTCGTCTAGATGAGATATATGCTGGCAGCTTAAGGTCTAATGAATAGAAGCTGAGACTCCTGGTCTGAATATAGGGGTTCACTAGCTGGCGTGGGGTCTGCCCATTGGTTTGGTTTCTGTATGGAGGAATTGAATTTATAGAACTACTTTCATGCCACCCTCTCCCCCCTCCCCCCCTTTTTTTTGTGGTGCAATGAGATGATGATGATGATGATGACGATGATGGTGATGATGGTGATGATAATGGTTAACATTTGTTGAATGCTTGCTAAGCATCAGATGCTATTCTAGGTGCTTTTACATGGGTAGTTTCATTTAATCCTCATAAAAATCCCAAAGAGGCAGGTACTCTTATGAGTTCCATTTTACAGAAGAGGGAATTGACATTTAGAAAATTTGAGTAACCAGATGAAGACTCACAGTGGCCAGTGGCCCTGGGATTCAACCTGAGGTGTCTGGGCTCTGTTACCCATGTTTTAAAACCTCTGCCTCATTGCCCCTCCATACTGAGACTCACCAGTGCCTCTGATACATGCTTTTAACTTCTTCCTTCAGTCGCCCTGAATGCACCACCTAAATAAATAAGAAGCTGCAATATTAATAATTTTATTCATATTTATGTATGTCTGCCTTGCCTCATTTCACAGAGGATTTGAAACAACCCCTTAGGCGAAAGTGGCATTGGTTGAAAGATAAGTATATTTCTTTCCTGTATTAGACATTCTCGAAGGGAGCTCTAGAATGTGATTGGGTTGTTTATTTAAGTATGCGTTTAGAGTGCATGTAACTTGTTTATAGAGGTGTTAAGTGAAAACTGTACTAGTTGCTAATGTGCAAATGTTTTTTTAATGATATACTTGCTAAAAACATTAGTTCTTCAATGCTAATTATATAGGCCGAGGATGCCACATTATTTTATTCTAGCCTGAGTGATAAACAGACTTTCAATTTGGCACAAAAAGAGTAGGTTTTGTGATTACTGGGGACCAAATAAAAGATTTTTTTAAAGGCTATGTTGAGAAAAGCTTATTAGTTCAATGTGGAAATGTCAGATAATGTATGTTTCTTTAGTTGTGAGGTTTCTAAAGATGGATCTGTTGATTATCAAATTAAAAGTGAGCCATTTGAAGCTGTTGTTGAATGGACATGACTGGGTGATTTTTCTGAAAGTCCAAAAGTCATTTATATGGCTTAGACAGACAGGAATCTATCCTTAGATCTTTTGATTGCAAGAGAGTATTTAAAAATTGAAGAAGCAAGAGCTCTCTAATTGCAAATGAGATTAGGCACAGAAGCATTAATATTATTAAAATTTCTAAATTCAGAGATAGTTTGTATTGAGGGAAAAGAGTTTTTTGACTATCAAAGCATCTGAATTAGTGAATACTTTTCAACAAATGGCTTCCAAGTTTTTGCGTTATTATATAAATGGCTCCTAACAATTAAAATGTGATCAGTGTTGAAAATCATGCTTCATGGTTCCCAAGAGTCTATTTAAATAAAGTATCAGAATCAGGAACTTTATTTTAATCCAACAATAAATTGCTAAAACCTGAAATCACGAAGATATCTTTGCCAAATTAACATTATATAATGTACTTTTAGGTTATCACACATTCACAGTTGCATTTAATTGC